CAATCTTTGCTGGTCTGGAGGAATACCTTCTTTGTCCTGAATCTTAGCCTTTACGTTGTCAATGGTATCGGAGCTCTCAACCTCCAAGGTGATGGTTTTCCCAGTCAGGGTCTTAACAAATGTCTACATGCGTCCTCTCAGACGCAGAACCAAGTGCAAGGTTGTCTCCTTTGACCATTTGTTTATTTCCCCATTGAAACAAATGAAAATGGTAATGTCCTATGCATTAATAATGTGTATCAATTACGCAACCTGTAGATTTTGATCTTTTGATTTTTTGATTTTTTGGTTTCATCTTGCTGGATGTAAAAGGCGAGTAGAATGAGTAACCAAATCACTGTTCACCCCAACTTAGGCTATGTTTGGTATAGCTGATGAGGAATTCTTTTAGACTTCAAAACTCCAACTGTAACAAACACTATAATTTATACAAAATACTATAACTGCTTATAAGTTAGTTTTTTGTCCATTTCATTACAAATCTTAGAAGCACTGAATTGATATTTCTGCAAAGGTTTCTTATTTGAATTTTAATAAAATTAATAAAATTAATTTTAAATAATATTATAATTATAATATTGTTAATTATATAATAACGAATATAACATCACGTGTTAAAATATATTTTCGTCAAACATATGCAACGGAATTGGTCTTAGTGTATTGCCACGTGTCATGATATGAAAGCGAGTGATTTTTACTTGTGGACACAGAGAATGGGTGAGATTTAGAAGTCGGAGGGTATCGTGGTCCACGGAAATATATGGAATTCTAATTTATTTCGGTTTTGGGGTAATTCAAACGGCACCGTTTCCGCTAGTTGAATCTTCATGGACTGGAATGGAACCAAGTTTGGGGATATGATTTTTTCATTTTTTGACGGTTCAGCCTAATACAATATCGATATATGTTTGGACTTAGAAGCTTGTTGTCCGTTCCAAGTGCTACCTTTACGCCTTATACTATCCAAGTTTACCCCAAACAAGCTCATATACTATATAAATTTGTTTCAAACAAGATATATATAAGGGACACCAAATCTGGTATATCAGTTGTTAGGTGTACTTAATATTTTAATAATAATCAAAATTTGAAATATAATAATTTCATGTTATTTCTCATCTTTGTATCTCAAATTATACCTATTCAAAAAAAAAAAAAAAAACTCATATGTTAACCAAATTAACCAAACACAAACATAAAGAGTTTCAAACACAAGATCCTTCAATTAAACTCAATAACCATCTGGAGGCGAAGGACAAGATGAAGGGTTGACTCCTTTTGGATGTTGTAATCAGCCAGGGGTAAGACCATCCAGTTGCTTCCCAACATATATATCAATCTTTGCTGGTCTGGAGGAATACCTTCTTTGTCCTGAATCTTAGCCTTTACGTTGTCAATGGTATCGGAGCTCTCAACCTCCAAGGTG